CATAGTACGGGGGAGCCAATGAAAAGGACTCAGCCAGAGAGAAGGACCGGCTACTCTCATCCTGAGGAGGACGCATGCCTCAGGCCCGAGGACAGTGGACAGTCATGAGGAGGTGGTGAAGATCGACCCCTGGGGCCAGGGTAGTATCCAACGGAATGCGGATCGCCCCAGGCCTGGTAGTAGGGACGGTACCATCCTTCGGAACAGTGTTCTACAGAGTGGCTCCTCTGGCTCCTAGGCGGGGACCTTTTAACATCCGCCTCCAATGTGGCTGTGGGCATAGGTGTGGGAGACCTAGCCCTAGGGGGAGAATCTTGAATCTCCCCCTCAGAAATCGACTCCCGTGGTAGAGTTGGGAGAGGCTCCGCCGGAAGGTCAGCCACACGGCGAGGGGACCCTTGAGGGGTAACCCTCGTAGGGCCGGGTCAGGTGGAGTCGGTACGGTGACTACCATAGGTACCGAATGGGCCGTCGAACCCGAGTCACGATGCCTGGGATGCTCCAGATCCTTAGATTTCTTCGACGGCTTCGGAGCCTTCTCCTTCCTGGCCTTCTTGTGGCCTGCCAATTTGTCGGTATCGGCATGCTTGCGTTTCTCATGCTTCTTCTTCAGAGAAGCAGGCCGAGCGCCCATGGTAGACGCGTCTTCGTCCAAAGGGCGAGAGGGCGGAGCCAAAGGGCGTGAAGTCAGAGGAGCATTGGAAGAGCCAGGCTTCAGAGCGATGACTAGTGGGTCAGACTGCAGAAGAGCCTGATCCCACAAAAGCCTTCGTAGGCAGTTCTCACGATTTTTCCTAGCCTGCTTAGAGAAGGCCAGGCAGTGAGAACACTTATCGGTCCTATGCCCTTCCCCCAGGCAGAGGAGATAGGTCATGCGGGTATGCAGGAGACATCTTAGACCCACATTCCGTGCACTTGCGGAAAGCCGCTCGCTGCGCCATCTTAAGAAAAGGAAAAAGGAGAAGATAGTGCAGAGGGTAAGAATATATTTCGGTTGTTTTTTTTTTTTTAATAGAAGATCGAAAGAGAGTTAGATGATGATAGAAAAAATCAGATAGAAGAAACAGAGAACTATCAAGAGGAACAAGAATTTCTACAAGAACTACTAATACTAACAGGGCTATACTGGGAGAGAAGAACAATTGAGAACAAACAAGACGAGCAATGGTCGGAACGACAGAGAAAGCGGCACGAGGCACAGTGAACGGCGGTCGCAAAGACTGAACAAAATGGTGGACGCTCCGCTCTTTATAGGCTAGAGGGGGAGGGGGAGCAGAGCTTTTTCCCGCCAAAAACCGTTAGCTATCAATCTTCCGGCCAAAGGCACTGCGCAGGCGCAGCACCCATATGTGTGATGCACAGAGGCCATGACAAAGAAGTAGGCTGTATCACTATAGCAGTTTCTGTTTCAGCACAATATTTGAGGCTTTTTAGTGAGAATTAGGATGCTTAAGCCCACATGGATGTGTGAGCAAATCAGTAGATCCCAGGAACAATTCATTTTATTTGAAGTATTTTTATCCTACTTTAGCCAATTCTAACCAGAATGCCAAATATCAAGAGTAAGCCAACCTTGACCCCTTAGTGTTACAATATAAAAGATAGAGCATTCAGCAGAAAATGTGATGAGGAGGCAGGAGGAAAAAGCAAGCCGAAGAAGCAGTTCTTAAAATCAGAGATTTAACAACCAGCTGTGAGAGAACAATTTAAATAGTAGTTGGGATCTTTTTTCCTTCAAATCCCTCTTCAAGATCTACCTCTACTGCAGAGCTGCCTGTGATTGTAAGCACTCAGTGGAATTTGTCAGATTAAATGTGCTCAGACCAGTACTAAGTACAGTGGTACCTCGGCTCACGGACACCTTGGTTCATGACCAAATCAGGTCACAAACAAAAATTTCATGAAAATTTTGACTTGGGTTGTGAACTCTGCATTGGGTGGCGACCAAGATAGCAACCATCTCCCCACCTCTCCCCAAGTGGGAAGATGGCCACGGTTGCAGTTGCATTCGTGCAGGGAAGACATGCGTGATCACAGGCGCACTCCTGCAGGAAAGATGGGCTCAGCACAGCACAGCCATGATCATGCATGTCTTCCCTGCATGAACATGACTGTGATCATGGCCATCTCCCCACTTGGAGGTGGGAGGAGATGGCCGTGATTGTGCTGGTTGCGGAGGTGGGGGGAGATGACTGCAAGAGTGCTGGTTGCATGAAGGAGATGGCCGCGAGCATGCTGGTTGCGGGGCAGCGGGGGGAGATGACTGAGATTGCACCCATCTTTCCTGCAAAAGCGCACCCATGTCAGGATTTCTTTGAGAAGCAGCACCCCAACGTAACTGTAACGAACAGAGTGTTGAATCTGATGAACGATAACATGGTCTCTCATTTCCGGAGGGTTATGCAGCGCAGGAAAAAACAAGTGACTATAGACAGATTTTTCACCAAAATTGACCCTGCAGCTAAGAGACAAAGAAGAGAGGAAACCAATGAAAGAGATCTCCCCAATGTCCTTATGGAGGGGAACTCCCTCAAAACAATAACCTCCCTCCCCCCACCTAGGTTAGTGTTCTCCACTGTACTGTACTGTACTGTACTGTACAGTACTTTGTCACTGTTGTTCTTTGTCACTTTGTTTTGAATTTTTCTGATTTAAAAAAATAGTTACAGAACGGATTAACCTTATTTACATTGAATCTTATGGGGAAATTTGACTTGGCTCACAACCAAAAATTGGCTCACAACCACATTCAGAGGGGCCAGAATGGATTAACCTTATTTACATTGAATCTTATGGGGAAATTTGACTTGGCTCACAACCAATTTGGGTCACAACCAGAGTCATGGAACGGATTAAGTTCGTGAGCCACTGTAATTGCAATAAACCCGAAATAGTGATCTACACCATATGTATGCAAGGCAGGAAGCAGTCAACCCAAGAAAGGAAAACTGGCATATTGCTAGCATTGCTTAAATTTGAAAATGAGATAGTGAACTTGGAACAGGCATATATAGTATATTTCCCTTAGTCCCAATTTCCAGACTACTAAAAGAAAGAAACTTGTGGGTAAAAGAAGACTACTATATTTATTGCAGGAGACTATTGCAGCTGGCAACCCATCTGGAAATTATACAGCCGAGTTATACATTTGAAACCTCATCTTAGGATGCACCGCACACCCGAAGTCCTGGGAAGGGAAGTCCTGTGCAAACTATGACTGCATCATGTATGACTATAGACAGAATTTAATAGTAAGAGCAGATAGATATATCCTAACAAGTTCAAGATTGCCTGCTCCTAATAGAGAATGCTGCCAATATTGCATGATATAATCTTACATAATTATAAATGAAGACACACTTGTGTTGTCTATTTTTCTATGTAGCTTTTATTGCATTTTACCAGGATCCTTATAGAAGGTCCAGAGCCAAAATGACAAGTGGAATGGCCCTCTATCACCTAAGGAAAGAAACAGGAGGAAATGGAGGGGGGAGGAGAGAAAAGCCTTAAGTGCTTGCGAAGAAAGTTCTATTCTTGCCCTACTATTTTCAGAAATGCCCGTCTTCAGGGGTTTGGTGTGCACCAACTCAGAGGAGTCTTTGGCGCACACAGGGGAGAAGGAGGCTTCTCGTGGGAACCAGGATTCGGTGCCTGGTGTCAATTGTACAAATGCCCTCCCCACTCCCTGACGAAGTGTTTTAAAGAGAAGAAGATGCAGGGGAGAGCAGGATTCAAGCAGAAGCTGATAGTGATAGGGTTGGAAGGTGGTCTGGCGGTTGCTTGCAGATAGTGACCATGGGAACGCTATGATTGGCATTGTCCCAGGACAGAGGGGGTTTGAAGATGCTTGCTCTTGCTCTTGCAGATGCACCCGCAGGCTAGAGCAATTGGAGTCGAGGGAATTAGAAAGGAGGAGGGAGAGAAGTTTGTCTGATCTGCCCAAGGAGGGATGGCCCAGGCGAATCAAAAGCATTTTGTAATCTAAGCCCTCTCAGAAAGATAGGACAACTTCGCCATCATTGTCATCTCCGTCTTTTCTTGTCAATGTATCTGCAATGTTTTGCAGAATAAAGGATTTTAGCTTCAACTGTTTGATTTACTGGCTTTGTTGAGGAGGAGTGCCAAAGCTTCAAGATAAGGGACCAAAAAAACAAAACCTGCTATCATCCCTCCCCCCCCCCTCACCGATTTTTAAGCTCCTGAAGGTTATCTTTGTGACATAATAGGGCGATAAAAGTTGTTTCACTAGCACATAGGACTTTTCAGCATTTCTTCCCTTTTTGTTTCCTTCTTTACACTTGTGCCTTCCCTTCTCATTTGATCCTCTGTCTATCACCTAGCCATTTGTCATATATCAGACAGCAGAGGATCACTTGACAGGGCTTCTTATGATAATATACATACAAGGGTAGGATTCTTATGGGTAAAGATGATCTTCAAAATATCCATGCCTTGGAATGTCTAAGTAATAACCCACATTTTATGTTGGGTTCAGAAACTGTTTTGAAGGCAGCAACAATGATTCCATATAGCTTATGTCCCAGTTAATGCTAGCAGCTCCATTTTGAACCAGCTGAAATTTCTAAAGGCAACTCTCCACACACACACACACACACACACACACATGAGGGGTCTTCAGAAAGTTTCTGCACTTTTATATTTTATAAATATATTTTATATATTAGTTGCTGATGGTATTAAAAAGTTGGTATGACACTGGGAAAAAATGTATTATAAAGGAAGGTGACTATGTCAAAAAGTGATATAATTTGTTTTTGAAATTCTTAATAGAGTTTTAAAAAATGCAGAAACTTTTTGAAGACCCCTCATCTATACGCACACTGTATTACAGTTATCTCACCTGGATGTTATCAGGACAAGAGCAACAGTGGCCAGTGTTTTCTGCAGTTTACAAAAATGCACAGACCTTTTTAGTATTGTGATTAATAATTTGCTCACCACCCATGCCACAAATTTGAAATTGCACAGTAGTGACATACCATTTTCTTTTAAGAATCTAAGCGCATCTGAATATCCTTGTTCACAGATTTCTCCTAACACCTGTAAAGGTTACAGAAAATGAGTAAACTGAAGAACATTTTGAAGTTCCAAAAAAGCAATTATCAAATGAATGGCACCAACATTTCATGTCACTTAAATATGGCAGTTGGGAGAGAAAATGCTAGTGTCTGCTTATTAAGGGTCACTATAGAAGACACAGATTTACATAGCTGAATTATTGTGTTTCAGGTTTGTTGTGGTTTTCTGTTTGGAGAGATGCAGTTTTCTGCATCTTTCTTTTCAAAATTATTAATTTAATGGCTTTAAAATCTTCCCTTTGATTTATCTAGGACTGTGAAACCATACAAATAGATCTGGTTGAAAAAGGGTCATAGATGATTTGCCATGGAGTGGGGCAAACACGGAGTGTTTGCTTGATACTGCAATGGAAATCAAATGTGTTCAACCATTTGTATTTAGGTGGCTTTTGAGGGCAAGGATTAAGCTAATATAGGGTTTTATTTTAATCAGATTATCTCTCAATGTGCATGCAGACATCCTACTGGGTTTTTAAAAATCTATTTCCAGCCTTTTAGGCAGCATAAACTTTTACCTTTCAGTATATGCATGCAGTTTGATGGCATGGAAGCTTTAACACAATTCTCAGGCTAGTACTAGTTTGCAGCTGGGCATACCAAGCTACATGTGTTTAGTAATTGATTCTGGTATGGCTACTTGCGCAAACAGTATATATCATTAGAATAAGTCACCTCAAACACAAGCAAAAATGAAGCATTTCAGTACTAAGGCAAAACCAGAAAATAATGCAGAAAAAACTCCAGAAATTATTGAAATAGGTTCAGTAAGCACTTTATTGTGTGTGTTTTTTTAAAGGGCTCTGCAGTAGTTGTACTGGAGAGTATTTGCATGATTCTTCTTGGAACATTAATAGCATGAAATCATCTCTCCAGAATAACATCCTAAATTGTAGAGGATTATCACCCTTCACATTAGAAGGGTGACTCCAGATGTTTTGGCCTAGAACTTCCATCATTTCTGACTATTGCCTATATGAACTGCTGGAAGGAAGTTCTAGCCCTAAACCCGTCAAGGGACCCAGGTTGGGAAAGACTTCTTTCCATTATTCCCAGTTAGGAGAAATTGCTCCCATGGCATTTTTACAAACGCTCATCAAGATGCTCTAGATTAGCACCATGATCTTCTTGAGACAGTAAACAAATTCATAGAGAACTAGCACTTTGAGAAGTATGTCTATTGTTCCATGATAGAAACTTAGAAGCATATATGCCAGCACATTTACAGAAAGCTTAGATATTACCCAAAGATAAAATGCACAGTACCTTGGGTTCTGGAGGGAAAAGTGCTTGTGTTAAACGGTACAAGTTCCCTAAGCTAAACTGAATGCTGGTATTCTTCAGATTGAATTCATGGAAGTTTGCAGAGTTTCCCTTTGGACATATGTCACACTCTCCAGAGAAAGGCGAAATTGTGATGGTATCCTTTGAGTCGTACTGAGGTAAATTGTCACTTATTCCACCATCAACATAGCGCTTTAAATAGGGAAGGAAATAGAGATTAAAAAACAAGGCTTATTTTTCTCTTAGCTCCAGAGAAAAAGAGTCTGGTATACTCAAAAATGGACAAGAGCATATATAGAAATTAGCTATTGCCTGACAGTGGTGGAAATAACCATCTAAATTGGTAGGCTGAGTGAAACCAAGTATATTTTACAAATAACAGGAGAAAATTGAGAAAGGAGACATGGCCTGTTGTTGCCTTGATAGGGAGCAACTTGAAGGCACTGCTAGTTTTACGCAAACTAGTGATTAGACTAGTGTTCATATGTCAGAACCCATATCTGCTCTTATTCAAATCAGTTCAAGTTTTGTGCCACAGTAACCATTTCACTTGATGTTGCTTAGAGTTTTGTGACCCTAGAGTTCTTCATTGGAGCCATTTGACATACTATTCAATCACAGTATATTCAGTAGTAGTATTCTGTCTTACCAAATGTGGCCCAAACAGAGCAATTGGTTGGAGCTAAATGTGGTTGATAATATGTATTGCATTCAGTATCACATAATTTATAAGGGCACTGTTCTTAGAGGATATGCTGTCCAGATGCCTCTGCAACTTTGGAAGCAATCTGATGATTCCTTTCCGATTATCCGTTTTCTTGGATATGTGTTCCCCATGTATCTCCTTGGGGAGATCAAATGCCTGGAGCCAGCCTTAGTGAAGACATTTGTGCTAAGGAATTGTACAACTTCCTTTGGTATTTATAAGGCATGCACTAGAGAGGGCAGGGTATCCTTAGGCCTGGAGGCAAAATCCAGCCCTCCTGGAGTCCTACTCTAACCCACTAGGGTTTCCCAGGTGATCCTACCTTCTTCCCCTGCTCCAGCTCTTTTCAAACTCTCAGAAGCTTCCTAGCTTCTGTGCAGTCCACTCCCCACCACATTTCTAAAAGGCTGAATTACCTTTCTAAGTTTAAGCTACAATATAGTGGTATGGTAGGCATGTCATGAGTGGAGCCAGGGGTCAGACTAGATGGCCCAGTAGGCCCTTTCTGACTCACTAAGTTTCTATATTTCTATGTATTTCTTGCCTTACCCCCTTTACCCTGCACAGAGCTCCTTCAAAATTGAATTTCCCCATCAGACTGAAAGAGGTTCCACTCTTGGCTCTCATACACTGATCACGTTCCATGCAAATAAGGTCCAATTGCTCACCTATACTCTTCCTAGTTTAGGCAAAGTGTTTTGTTTATGTCCTTCACCCAATGCAGTGTTCCTCCTATGCATCTTGTACTATGCAGTTCCATTTCTATACCAATACTAACTGCAAAGTCAATTTGGAAGATGAACAAGGCCTTTCAAGTGTACCTCGTGTTTGTCACCCCAACTAAATCTTTTTAGATAACATAATTGTCCAGCCACGAGTACCAAAGAACTGGATTAGCCTGAACCTACCTGAATCATAGATTTAGTGGATGCTTTCTCTGCCTCTCATAAAGGATTGAAGATTTTTAAAGGTAAAAAAGGAAGGATAAAGGACAGTTTTTGGAATCTGGATTTGCTGCTTTTCCAAAACCTTTGCATCATCAAATCACAAGGACATCTTTTCCTTTGATTTGAAGCAGGGAGGGAATGAGCAAAAAAGCATCCGTACACAAAAATTAGCACTAGTTATTTTCTAGAATGTGCACAATGCAGGCCCTGAATAATTTTGCCTTTCCTTTTACTAAAATATGCAGGCAAAATCGCACAAGCATTTTGGTATTTGCTTTCAGTCAAGATACAGGCAGCCTTTAATAGGATACTTCAAGTCCTAAGAATGGCCTTGAAATACACTGCTTAAGAAAGGGCCTTAAAACAATTAAGAGGATAACAATTAGCATTTCATCTTCAAGACCGCTTCCTCTTAAGTCAAGCAAGTGAGTTCTCAACTGAGAGATAACAAACCCAAGCCTCTTTTATGCAATGCTTGCAGTGCAAAATGTGTGTGCATGTGTATACCACACATACCATGTAAAACTGCAACATATCCATTGAATATACATATATTGATATGTGTTCCATGGAGGCTGTATATGAACAGCTTTATGCACAAGTAACTTCCAAGAAGGTTCATACCCCCAATGTGAGCAACAGACATCCCACTGGGCTCCCACCAGACATACAATACAGAGTAAACTTATGGTCCCACTTGAATAAATTGTGTGCACATACGTCTCATTTTCTTAGTCCTCCCATCCCTAATTGGCTTATATAAGCTGCAGAAGCTTTTATTAAGGAGCTTCAAACAATTTTCTTGATAAAATGTTTCCTTAAAATGTGTTAGAAACCATATCCGTTTGTTTTGCTGTATGAACTATGCTTATTCTGGGAAAACAAAATTCAGTTCATTTTATAACCCACACAAAGCTATCTTAGAGCAACTTTTATCTCATGACCACTATGGTCACACACACAAGTCAGCCATTGGAATGATATTGTGTAGTGAAATAAATTCACACACTTCAAATTGATCTCTCTGCTATTCCATTTCTTGGACACAAACAGAACAGCCTGTCTCACACCCAGGCATTATATGACAGGGCATAAATTCATCAGATATGCCACAACTGTGTATCAGTCCTTCCCAACAACCAACCTTTCACTGACATCAGCACAATATGCTGTGCATGCATACCAGGTGTGGAGGCTAGAGAGATAAAAGCTGTATCCATCAGCTATAGACCTGCAAAAGTTCTAGATGCATGCTCCTTCACAAGGTTTCTGCGAGTATAATGATGTCAGTATTGGGAAAAGGGGAGTGTTTGGGGACCTGTGTACCATATGTCACACAACAAATACAATAGGGACCAGTGCCTTATAATAATAATAAATGTTCCTTATTGTAGTTTTTGAATACACAGAAAATAATTACATATAATTTTTGAGATCACAGAAGTATCATAAGATTGACTCCTTGAAAAAAAAAAGATGTACTCTGTATTCAGTAAAATCATTTTTAAAAATCTCACAGAGGGGATCAAATGGATTCTGACCAAGCAAAACGATGTTTATTTTCATCTATTACTCCTCCAGGATCCAGTCTTACAACCTTGACAGACAGGACATTAGTGATGACTGCTAAGTCACAAACCAATGTCCACTGTGCTCAATGTATGTAAGCATCCAAACATGTTTATTTATGTGCAAACTATTGACACCCTGCCCTTCATCTTGATAGGCATTTTCAGCTCTCTAGATGAAGTTTCATGGAAGGGGACAAAAGTAGACCAGGGCACCCTTTAGATACAGTGAAAGTAGTCAGTCAGCCCCAGTCTTCTCCTTTCCCCTTTAGCTCTTTCTGAGGCCAATTTCCAACCCTCAACATCACATTTATAAACCATGAAGAGGCAAGTGGTGTGGCTCTTTCCATGTAAGCAGTGAATGGGACAGGGTAGGGGCTCCACATTTGGAATCCCAGCTCTGCAGTCAGAGAACCTCAGAGCTTGGACTCCAAATAATCCTTTATGCCCCCACTTCCCCTATCAGGAGGCCATACACAATTGCAACCTAAGAAATTCTACAGGTAATTTACCATTCCAGAACCATTTATGACATAAAAATAATGGTGTCCAAAATCTTGTATGGACCAAAAAGCCAAGATTCCCTTTCAAAGGTTCTCAGCACTGATGTTGCTACCATAGGAAAGTATAGAACATCACCTGATTATTCTTGCATTTGATGTCTTCAGCAATACTCATGAAAGTTTAGTTTAACAGAAGGATAAACAAGTACTTACCACCCCTCTAAATGAAGGTGGAATGAGGCCACAATATATAGGCACAAATGAACTGCAGAGCAAAGCCTTAAAAAGAAAAAGCTCAGCATTATATCTTTGTCTAATAGCAAAAAGCATTCATACAACAATGGTCCAATGCAGTCATTTTCCACAATTCTTTCCTTTCCTTTTTCAACTTGTCAGATGAAAAACCACTATGTTCAATTAAGCTAGCAGTACCACTGACAAGCCCTTTCTAGTGATGGCCTCACATTCAGAATCCCATCCTTTGAGATTTTTGCTTGGTTCCTTCTCTTACATCCTTTAAGAGAACACTATTTTTTTTAATCCCACCAAGGTTTTAAAAATAATTGTTGTGGTTTTGCTAGCTACCTATCTATGAAGATTTTATACTGTACAGGCACACTTTAAAAAGGATGCTATTCAACATCCTCCCCCAACATCCTCCCCCAACCTGATGCACTCCAGATGTTTTAGACTACATCTAAAACAGCATTTTACAGCATTTCACAGCATTTCTGATCATTGACCATGATGGCTGGGATGGTGGGAATCGTACTCCAAAACATCCAGAGAGCAATAGGCTAGGGAAGGCTTTTCTTCCTAAGACTCTCATGCTAGAGCTAGAACAAGGAAAATCTTTTTGTATGGATTTCTGAAAAAGACAACCACTGGAAACAAGTGAACATAATTTTCAAACACAAAAATTAGAAAAATTGGGGGGACCTAAGGCATTTAAGATTCTCAGCCACTAGCCCAGAATTTAATAACAAATGTGAACGGACCTGCACAACTTCTTCTTTAGATTTAAAGTTGGATACCAACACATTTTTGCCATCAGACACTCTGGTAAGTGAAATGCAGAGTTTCCCTGCTATCAGTTCATGAGTATTTTCTGGAAGATGTTTGTAGAGGCCATCCCGTATTATTTTCATCACATTGAAGGAAGGATGAAGAGGGCCAAGATTTCGTTTTCTGGCTTCTTTGGCTAGACCCATAACATCAGCACAAGCTTCCACTGAAAGAGAAATAACTGAATGTAAGATGGTGATGGTGGTGGCGGTGGCAGTGGTGGTGGTGCATGACATTTCTATATCACCTGTAGCCAAAGCTCTCTGGGTGGTTCACAACATTAGAACACCCATCCAGATTTGAACCAGGCCCGGCCCTGCTTAGTTTCCATGAATACACAGGATCAGGCACTTCAGGCTATACGGTCAATGGTACAAACATTTCAAGGTGTTTAAAAAGAAAGATTTCTCCATTTACAATTTCAAGTTTTAAAAAAACTAATCCTTAACAGCACCTGGAAAAAAATATTTTGCAGTTCATAAACATGGGCACCTAACATAGGTTACTCACACACTGAAATACATATGTATCATATTGTTCAAATACTGAATTGTTTAATATGACAGAAAATAAGTCTTTTCCCCTTGCATGTCTTGAATGAACCAGCATTATACCAAAAAATAATGGGGTTGGTCTTCATGACACCAACCCATCATTCTGGCATAATCAAACTGATCTCTTTCTACCTTTTTCCTCCAGGGCTTGACTCCAATTTTTCTTTTTACCTGATGTAATTAAGAAAACAATATTTATCTAAAAAGCAGGATAAAATAATAACATAGAGAAAGCATGTGTTTTATTGATATTTTCTTTTTAACATAGTAGTTAAGAAGTATTAAAAGTAGTATTGTTCGCCACTCAGGATTCTGTGTAACTGTGGAGCAGTATATCAACCTTGAAAATAAATAATATACACATAACTATCAGGTGCCAGAAATTTTAAAATCCTGAGATCCAAATGATCCTGAAGGACGTATCCAACAATGTAAGTCAATTGAAATGAATAAGGCAAGTTAGACATACACTGGATACAACCCAAGGGCTGCAACCCTACACTAGCTTAGCCAGAAGTAAACTCAACTGAATTCTGAGTAGGCATGTGTAAGATTGCAAATGTCAGTTTCCTCTTCTTATCTTCTGTACCAAACACCTCAAGTTACTTAGTTCTTTCAAGCAGTAACTAAGACAGTTTTCCAGTTAAAGAGTTTATGGTTTCCTTCTATACTTTTCCCTCATGGATACAGAATTGCCCCCGTTATTTTAATGTGTCTTCATTTTTCAAGTAATATCCAATAAGAAAAAAATCCACATTATAATTCCTCATTTTATTTTAATACAGAATTCATTTTCAAGAAATTATGAGCTTTTTACAACCAACATTTGAAAGAAGATCTGTCACATATATTGATCAAGCTGGCATATTCAGTTATACACTACAGAATCATCTGAAGGAACATGTTCCACTGCTGAAGGTAAGCACAGTAACCCTGTAAACAGCATGGATGAGAATCATGTGTAACTATAAGTCACTATAAGCTATTTGAAAAGAAGAGCAGAAAATGGACTAATAAATATGATTGGACATTTGACTAGTCAGTACATTTATTGACCAGTCCTTTTTTAACTTAACCATTACTTGACAACAGTCCACCTGGATTAGAATAAAAATGCATTAATCATGAACAGGAACAAAATGTATGTTAATTACAAAGCCAAAAGTAGCTAACTTTTATCCTCAGTGATCACAAAGTTTGGATGGCCTTGGTAGCCAAGCAAAAAGTTATGGTCACCATGCGCTTGCTTTATTATGCAATTTCCTCGTCACCACAGTTACCACCTTTAAAAGAATTTTGATTTTTCCCAAAGTTAGGTAATGTTTCTATAAATTTGATAAATTCATTGGACAGTTCTTCTGTAGGGCTTCTATCATGAAACACTGGGGCTAGCCTACAGTTACAACATTTTTAACAACTAGCAACATGAATAAAGCAAAGAAACAGCAATTAAAAAAACAAACATCTGTTTATAAATGAAGTTGTGTTACATTGATAGCAGGCTAATTTTTCTACTATCAAGTCCATCATGACTTCATGGAATAATTGACTATGGTCTGTTGACAGTATTTAATAATTTAATTGTGTAACATGCCAACTCTAATTCTGAATAACTGCAAGTCAATGAACACATTGCTTTTCAAATTGGGTTGTCAAGTAATAGACTAATTCCTTCAGGGCAGCTTGTTTAGAAAAAGGGTTATGATTGAACAAAGGGTCCAGTCCATATGCTCCAATAAAAAACACACATTTTCTTGTGTACCCTGTCAAACCCCACTTTTTGAAGGGATCCAAGATTTTTTTTTTTTTTTGCACAATTGAAAAGAAATAATTGGTAACCATGGGCAGCCTGTCCAACTGTCATAACAAAGACTGTGAAAAAAAAGTTTTAAAAAAAAGGCTACAATGAGCCCAGAATAGCTCTTGCTTGCAATGGGGGAAGGACAACTCATTCCTTTTGTAGTGTCCACTAGAATACCCACAGGAGGACCAAAGGGAGAGGGAAGGGGGCAGGAACCCATGGCAAGCCTGACTGTCTGTCATGTCCACCTTACATTGTTTTGCACACAATCACTGTGGCTTATTTCCAAGGTGAGTTTGGTTGACATGCGAACAAGACTAATGGGCTTGTTATGACCTAATGATAATTGCCCAGAGAGCTTTGGCTGTGGGGCAGTTTAGAAATGAAACAAGAACAAGAACAATCACCACCAATCAAGTTGTCAGAGTCATGTGGGCACAATGCCTGCAGTGCACCTGTAGAGAGAGGGCCCAGTTTTCTCACATTACACTCTGCTCGGTTAGATTCATCCATTTCTAAGGAGGACATGAAGGGGCACTGGGCTGGGACAGATGACTTAGTAGTTTCAAGCTTACCTACTAAAGTTTCTCAAGCAGAACATGCGAACAGTTGAGAGTCTATGGGCTGGGGTGGTACATAAACATCAAAAACAATAAATTTTTGCTAAAAAAAATTATCAAAAAACCCAACAATAAATGCATAACCAGACCGCCTTGGAAAAGTAAGGAGGTATTTAAGAATTGGGCAAGGAAGGGATTAAGGGGGAGTTCCTTGACCCCATCAGGAGATGAGACACAAAATGAGTGGACCAATTATGAAGTGTCTGCCATTCCTGCTATCTAGCCTTCAAGAAGGTGGAGCCACCCTGAATTGGAGTCAGAATCATTTCTGAAAGAGAGAAAGAGATTTTTCTGTTTGGATTCAACTCTTCACATGAGCAGATGCTTTTCCTGCATCTCAAAGAGAATGTTACTTGGATTTACGCTGTTTTGTTGAGCTCTAATAAAAGGTCTGTGCTTCCAAGGTCTTGTCTAAGTGGGCTGTAGATGGAAAAAAATGGTGCAGAGAGAGCTGCTCTCAACATCTCCCACCTCTTTAACTTTACAGTATAAACCACAACTGGGAGGGAGAGAGGAAGGGAGGAGGAAGAGAGGAGAGACACAACCTACGTATGAAGATCTCTTGCATATCCTTACTTATTTATGTTTGCCAAGGAAGTACTGAAAATACATTTCATCAGCAATGTTTAATTAGAGTAACTATCTCACTGTCTTTCAAAGTTAGTCATTATTAAACAAATATATACTCTGATATCTTATCACAGGCTTGCATAACTGAGTGCATTCACGAGGTTTTTTTTTTCAAAATATTTTCTTTAAGATTAGCATTATTAATTTTTTTTGTCAGCCCAAGTTATTAGCACAGCAACCATTCTCTTTCGCTCAGAAAGCTTGCCAAGAAATGGAACAGGTTAATGTCCTGTAGTAACCTTCTCCACAGGATAGATAACAACTAATTGTACCACATGTCAGCAGAGGCTCAGCTTATTTTTCTCATCCAATCACAAGGCAACAAACTGACCACCACGAATAGTTTATTAGGGCAGCTTTTCATGCCTGACACAACTTTTGTCCTCTGCTTTACTTCCAGAGAGGAAGTTAAAGTCAACTTTCCAAAAGGAATTTGACCTACAAATAAAAGGTCAGGAGGAGATAAGCTAAAGATTGGGGAGGTTGTGTAAAGCAAAGATTAAAATTAATACAAAATAAATCATCATAATTGATTTTAGTCACAAGATCCTACATTTTACCTAAAAATGAATGGGCATTATAATGCACATAACTGGTGTGGGATTTTGAGATTGTCAAGAAGCTGAAATCAATGCCACCAGGAGGCCAAACTCCTTCAATAGGCTGATCTCCTAGGAGGGCCACCCAAAGCAGAATAGTCAAAGCTTTGGCAGCAGACCAAGATGCACCCACCCTCTTCAGGGGGACAGGTCACAAAAGCAGAAGAGAATGGGTATCTCTAATGGTGATGGGGAGGTAGCAGCTACTGGGCAGCAACAGGAGTTGAAAGGGACCCTAGCAAAAGATCTTTTGCAGACAACAGCAGTAATGCTGAGGCTGTTTAATACTTCAGAAGACAATGGTAAACCACCTCTGAATATTTCTTACCTTGAAAATCCTATGATGAAGCAATCTACACTGAAACCAGAAATACTAGCAAAAGATGAAGTTCACAGGTGGGAAGGCATTGAAAACAAATTGGGAACACCCAATAACAAGTATTAATGGCCCTGCCACTAATGATGCAACTAGTTCAAATACAAAAAGAAGACTAATGGCTGACATGCACAGGGGTGAAAGGAAAATCTGATGCTGCAAAATACACATAAGAGCAACATGGAAAGTGAGAAGTATGGATCAAGGCAAAGTGGAAAACATAAAGCAGGAAATGGAATGATTAAACACTGCAGTACATTATGTAAGTGAACATAAGTAGACTGGAAGACATTTTCTATCAGACAAACACTAAGTGTTTCATACTCTGGAAATGACAAACTGGGAAGAAATGGAATTAATACTGAAGCAAGATATAGTATACACCATACTAAATGCTAAATCTAACCAAATAATTTCACTCAGAATTCTCAGAAAACCTATCAGTATAATTATGACAGAAGCATAGAATAGTAGAGTTGGAAGACACCAGAGGGCCATCAGGCTGCGCTCCCTGCTCAGTTCAAGACTGCAGGGTAAACCATCCCTCTCCGATGGCTGTCCAGTTGCATCATTCAGGTCTATGCTC